CAGGAAAAGATGATGTCAAAGACAAAGTATAGAGCTCATGACTTACCTAGCTGAGCATTCAGCAGAAGGGTCAGACCTAGAGAGAAAGAAAACATGTACTCTGAACTTGTCCATGTCCTATAGAATCTAATTCTGAGGACCTGGGTGCCATCCTACTTGTCATAGGTTGTTACAGCCCAAATGGCATTTAGGAGTTATATCAAAGAGTAGGCTTCTCAGTGAAGTCACCAATAAATACACCTTTCCCTTCTCTCAGTCAAAAATGGCCATGGGGGTGGCCAGTTAGCTCAGGTGGTTAGAGCACAGACTCACAATGCCAAGGTTGCCAGTTTGATTCCCACATGGGCCAAGGAGCTGTGTCCTCCACAACTAGACTGAAACAACTACTCAACTTGGAGCTGATGAGTCATGGAAAAATTCTCTCCACAACTAGATTGAAACAACTACTTGACTTGGAGCTGATGGGTCCTGGAAAAACACACTGCTCCCCAATAAAATTTCTTTGGNTATCAGAGGTGTGATTTGGATGGTAAACATGGGCAAAATTAGAAAAGTAGACCATCATCTACAATTCTGTTTAATTGATTTTATTCCAGTCTGGTGTGCTCATTTGTGCAAAACTTTGTAAGTGCTAAAGAATCAGTCTTGCTAGATCTGTATCCTGGGAAGAGTTTGTGCTATCTAAACTGAGAATTTTTTTGAATTCTGTTCGATTAAGAAAGTGTGTCGTTTATCTGAAATACACCTACTAACTCCATTCCTTTTATTTCTATAGTTAGTATTTGTCACTTGTGGCCATCCACTGTCTTTGCACACGCTCCCTACATTTTGATAATTTCTTCTTTATGAATCCTGCTTTCCCAAGTAGAAGTCAGAAAACTCACATTTTCTCTTACTCACAGCTGGAGAGCAGGCCTGTGAGCAGACTCTGCCAATATGTGTGATTCTTGGATTTCAAATTAAGCAACATTAGAGATGGCCACATATGGAGAATCTACCTTCTAGGAAGTGCAACACTGGATGTGACTTGTTCTTCTAGGGCAGCAGTGGCGAGCTAATGGCCCCTATTACAGAGGGTCATTGGTTATAAGCAGTGGACTCTGTGATATCTCAACTAGAGCCACTCCTCCAGTAAAGACAGGCACTCTTTCCACTCTCTTGCCCTTCCAGAGTATCTGTGAGCTGACAAATATCTTTTTAAAAGTTCCATTACTGCCTAAATTAGCCAGAGTATAATTTACTGTTAAAAACTACAAATCTGAACCATATATGAAAAGTCCACAGCTAACACACTCTCAATGGTGAAAAGCTGAAAGCTTTCCTTCTAAGATCAGGAATAAGGCAAGGATGCCTTCTTTTTTCACTTCTATTCAACACAGCTCCAGAAGTCCTAGCCAGAGAAATTAAGCACCAAAAAAAAGAAAGAAATGCTGCACAGAAAAAAATCCCCAAAAAACAAGAAAATGAAAAGGCTATCTGTGGAGTGGGAGAAAATATTTGCATGCCATATGTTGAATAAGGGTTAATATCCAAAATATATAAGGAATTCATAACAAAAACAAAAAAATCTGATTTTAAAAAATGGACAGAGGAACTGAATACACATTTTTCCAAAGAAAATATCCAAATAGCGAACAGGTGCATGGGAAGATGCTCAACATCACTAATCCTCAAGGAAATGAAAATCAGAAGCACAATGAGATATCAGCTCATGCCTGTTAGAATGGCTGTCTTCAAGAAAACAAGTGTTGGCGAGGCTGTGGGGAAAAGGAACCCTCGTGAACTGTGGGTAGGACTGCAAACTTGTGCAGCCCCTATGGAAAACAGTATGGAGATTCCTCAGAAAATTAAAAATAAAACTACTATATGATCCAGCAATCCCACTTCTGGGTATCTATGCAAAGAAAATGAAAACACTATGTCAGAGAGATGCCTACACCCCCATGTTCATTGCAGCAATATTTGTACTAACCAAGACATGGAAACAATCTAAGCGTCCATTGATGGAAGAATACAGTCTCCAACTTTTTAAAGTTATTTAAGTTCATACTTTCAGTTTATTTTAAATAATAAAGCTTAATTTGGGGGGGATTAGCTCAAAATTTACATACAACCTCCAAACTTTTACATATAAGCAGGCCAGGTCACTCACTTTATATTGCCTTCCTATAGTACCCCAAATCCTCTGTCTCACCATTTCTCCTAATCCTTCCAAATCTTACTCAAAACTACCTCCTGTCTTATTTTCATGTTTAGGGTACCTCCAAATCTTTACTACCACCCTCCTTGGACATTTAGAAGTGTTCTCCAAAAGAATGAACATAGTGCCGGCCGAGTGGCTCAGTTGGTTAAGAGCTTGCTCAAGAGTTTGAGCTCTGAGCAACAGCAGTTCAAGTCCCGGCCCGAGCTGAGCAGCTGATAAGCTGCCAAGAGGTGGCAGGATGGCTCAGCTTAAAAAAATAAAATCATTTTGGGCCGGTTGAGTGGCTCAGTTGGTTAAGAGCTCGCTCAAGAATTTGAGCTCTGAGCAATAGCGGTTCAAGTCCCGGCCCAAGCTGAGCAGCTGCTGAGCTGCCAACAGGTGGCAGGATGGCTCAGCTAAAAAAAAAAAAATTTATAAGAGTGTACATAGATATGTTTATTTATGGGGCATTATTACACGAGTCTTACAATCTTTTCTCCTACCATCCTTATCTGAGTACATGTTTTGAGAATGCATGGACCAGGCATCTTCCTGAATCTCTCTTCTCCTGCCACCCAACACCCAGGAGGAGCTGTGCATGCTGTGGTGCGGTGGTGGAGCAATAACATACCATCGGGAGGCTGGGATTAATTACATCCAAGATCCTTCAGTAAAGAAGCAGAAGCCATTGCGCAGTAATGCTCAATCCTTTATTATACAAGAATTTCTGAGCTGGAATGAGTGAGGTGGCATCTGGCAAAGATATCACCAGTTGCAGCAGGAACAGGAGGCATCAAAGACCAGGCCAGTCTGGCAGTGCTGAATGAATGTCTGTCCATTCACACAGTTGTAGAAGGCATTTTTGTCAGCGGGGTCAGGGTACAGGCCACTGGCCCTGTTGGCACAGAATCCGCTGCCACTGGAGCTGCCTCCTGAGCTGCCACTGCCACTGCCACTGCTGCTGCCACTGCCACCACCTGTACTGGGAGCCTCAGTGATGGGAGCAATGGGTTGGGCTGGAGCTTTGCAACCTAAAATAAAGAAACCAGATCCTGAGCCCCCTTGTTTTTAGTCAATGGTGCCTGATGTATGAGAATTAATATCCTGGATTTTCTTATTAGCTCCTCCTTCCATATCTCTGCACATTTCAGTCTCCTGATGTGGCCTGCCCACCCTCCCCTCTTTTCTTTGCTTATCAGCTCTCTCTTCATGTTCAAGGCAAAGTTCATTATTCCTCATTCCTAGATCACCCTGATGCTTTGAGACCATCTGTCATGAACTCCCAAGAAAGTTTCTTATCTTTTTTTCCTGGTACTTAAACCATACAATGTCTTCTGAGTTGTCACCTAACTGTAATTGCATCAATACTACCTAGGTTGTAAGCTTCCATATAGTAGAGGTTGAGAGNCAAAAAAAAAAAAAAAAAAAAGAAAGAAAGAAATTCTGCACAGAAAAAAATCCCCAAAACAAGAAAATGAAAAGGCTATCTACAGAATGGGAGAAAATATTTGCATGCCATATGTTAAATAAGGGTTAATATCCAAAATATATAAGGAATTCATAACAAAAACAAAAAATCTGATTAAAAAAATGGACAGAGGGACTGAATACACATTTTTCCAAAGAAAATATTCAAATAGCCCACAGGTGCATGGGAAGATGCTCAACATCACTAATCCTCAAGGAAATGAAAATCAGAAGCACAATGAGATATCAGCTCATGCCTGTTAGAATCGCTGTCTTCAAGAAAACAAGAGAAAACAAAAGTTGGCGAGGCTGTGGGGAAAAGGAACCCTCGTGAACTGTGGGTAGGACTGCAAACTTGTGCAGCACCTATGGAAAACAGTATGGAGATTCCTCAGAAAATTAAAAATAAAACTACTATATGATCCAGAAATCCCACTTCTGGGTATCTATGCAAAGAAAATGAAAACACTATGTCAGAGAGAAGCCTACACCCCCATGTTCATTGCAGCAATATTTATACTAACCAAGACATGGAAACAATCTAAGCGTCCATTGATGGAAGAATACAGTCTCCAACTTTTTAAAGTTATTTAAGTTCATACTTCCAGTTTATTTTAAATAATAAAGCTTAATTTGGGGGGATTAGCTCAAAAATTTACATACAACCTCCAAACTTTTACATATAAGTAGGCCAGGTCACTCACTTTATATTGCCTTCCTATAGTACCCCAAATCCTGTCTCACCATTTCTCCTAATCCTTCCAAATCTTACTCAAAACTACCTCCTGTCTTATTTTCATGTATAGGGTACCTCCAAATCTTTACTACCACCCTCCTTGAACATTTAGAAATGTTCTCCAAAAGAATGTACATAGTGCCGGCTGAGTAGCTCGGTTGGTTAAGAGCTTGCTCAAGAGTTTGAGCTCTGAGCAACAGCAGTTCAAGTCCCGGGCCAAGCTGAGCAGCTGCTGAGCTGCCAACAGGTGGCAGGATGGCTCAGCGAAAAAAAAAAAAAGAATTATAAGAGTGTACATAGATATGTTTATTTATGGGGCATTATTACACGAGTCTTACAATCTTGTCTCCTACCATCCTTATCTGAGTACATGTTTTGAGAATGCATGGACCAGGCATCTTCCTGAATCTCTCTTCTCCTGCCACCCAACACCCAGGAGGAGCTGTGCATGCTGTGGTGCGGTGGTGGAGCAATAACATACCATCGGGAGGCTGGGATTAATTACATCCAAGATCCTTCAGTAAAGAAGCAGAAGCCATTGCGCAGTAATGCTCAATCCTTTATTATACAAGAATTTCTGAGCTGGAATGAGTGAGGTGGCATCTGGCAAAGATATCACCAGTTGCAGCAGGAACAGGAGGCATCAAAGACCAGGCCAGTCTGGCAGTGCTGAATGAATGTCTGTCCATTCACACAGTTGTAGAAGGCATTTTTGTCAGCGGGGTCAGGGTACAGGCCACTGGCCCTGTTGGCACAGAATCCGCTGCCACTGGAGCTGCCTCCTGAGCTGCCACTGCCACTGCCACTGCTGCTGCCACTGCCACCACCTGTACTGGGAGCCTCAGTGATGGGAGCAATGGGTTGGGCTGGAGCTTTGCAACCTAAAATAAAGAAACCAGATCCTGAGCCCCCTTGTTTTTAGTCAATGGTGCCTGATGTATGAGAACTAATATCCTGGATTTTCTTATTAGCTCCTCCTTCCATATCTCTGCACATTTCAGTCTCCTGATGTGGCCTGCCCACCCTCCCCTCTTTTCTTTGCTTATCAGCTCTCTCTTCATGTTCAAGGNCTGTTGTCTGTATCTATCACTTATTGTTTGTTTGTTTGTTTGTCTTGTTCATTTGTTGCTTTCAGTTTTATATCCCACATATGAGTGAAGTCATATAGTTCTTGATTTTTTTCTGACTTATTTTGCTTAGCATGATAATATCAAGATCCATCCATGTTGTCACAAATAGCATCATTTCATCTTTTCCTATGGCTGAGTAATATTCCATTGTGTATATGTACCACATCTTCTTTATCCAATCATTTATCGAAGGACACTTTGGTTGTTTCCATGTCTTGGCCACCGTGAATGATGTTGCAATGAAAATAGAGGTACATATATCTTTACTGATAAATGTTTTCAGATTTTTTTGGTAAATACTCAGAAGGGAGATTGCTGGATTACACGGTAATTCTATTCTTAATTTTTGAGGAACCTCCATACTGTTTTCCATAGTGGCTGTTTACATTCCTACCAGCAGGGTTCCTTTTTCTCCACAACCTCTCCAACACTTGTTATTACTTGTCTTGTTGATAATAGCCATTCTAGCAGGTGTGAGGTGGTATCTCATTGTGGTTTTGATGTGCATTTTCCTAATAACTAGTAAGGTTGAGCATCTTTTCATATATCTGTTGGCCATTTGTATGTTTTCTTGCGAGGAGTGTTCATATCCTCTGCCCATTTTTTAATTGGATTGCTTTTTTGTTGTTGAGTTGTATGAGTCCTTTATATATTTTGGATATGAGCCCTTTATTGGAGGTGTTGTTTGTGAATGTCTTCTCCCATTCAGTTGGTTGCCACTTTGTTTTGCTGATGGTTTCTTTTGCTGAGTAGAAGCTTTTTAGTTTGATATGGTCCCATTCATTTATTTTTATTTTTATTTCTCTTGCCTTTTTCAAAGGCAAGAGAATTCATAAAATCCTCTCTGAAACCAAGGTCCATTAGTTTAGTACCTATGTTTTCTTCTATACAATTTATTGTTTCAGGTCTTATGTTTAGGTCTTCGATCCATTTTGAGTTAATTTTGGTATATGGTGACAGCAATATAGTTTCGTTCTTTT